GATTTATGATTTTATAAAGAAGATTCTAAATTTGTAATTTTGATAAAAATTTATAATTTCAATCATCTTTACTTCAAAAATGAAAATAATAAAAAAATATATACTGGCCTAATATAGATTTTAGTGCTAAACAAGTTTACTTAGAGCTCAAAGATACAATTTATTAATAAAAGTTTGAGAAATATAAAAGTTTTTGTATTTTTATTAATAAAAATATAGAAGATTTTGTATCTCTTAAAATTTTATAACTTTAAGCTCTAAGTAAACTTGTTTGGCACCAAAATCTACATATATTTGTTTTATTTTTTTTTTATTTTACAAAGAAGATAATTTGATAAAAATTTACAATTTTAACTATTTTTACTTCAAAAATAAAAAAATATATGTGACAGATTAAAATGAAATCAGATTAAAATGAAATTTTTATATTTTTTAGAGACAATTTAAAAAATTTTGGAGAATATTTTTAGGGTTAGAGTTAGGGTTTAGTGTTAGATTTATTAATAAAAGAGTATAAGTGGGTTTTATAAACTTTAAAGAAGAGCAAGAGAGGTCCTCTGTTTCATTTTAATCTGATTTTATTTTAATCTGTGACAATATATGCTAGCCTAATGTAAATTTTAATGCTAAACAAGTTTATATAGAGCTCAAAGACAATTTATTAATAAAAGTTTGAGAGATATAGAAGTTTCTATATTTTTATTAATAAAACTATAGAAAATTCTGCATCTTTTAAAACTTTATTAATGGATTGTGACTTTAAGCTTTAAGTAAACTTGTTTAGCACCAAACCTGCATTAAGACGGTATATATTTTTTTATTTTTTTTATTTTTACAAAAAAGATTTTAAATTTGTAATTTTAATAGAAATTTACAATTTTAACTATTTTTACTTAAAAAATAAAAAAATATATATACTAGCCTAATGTAGATTTTAGCTCTCAACAAGTTTACTTAAAGCTCAAAGTTATAATCTATTAATAAAATTTCAAGAAATACAAAACTATCTATATTTTTATTAATAAAAATACAAAAAATTTTGTATCTCTCAAACTTTTATTAGTTAATTGTATCTTTAAACTCTATGTAAACTTGTTTAGCACTAAATTCTATATTAGACTAGTATATATTTTCTTATTTTTCTTTATTTTTAAAGTAAAGATGGTTAAAATTGTAAATTTTTATCAAAATTACAAATTTAAAATTTTCTTTGTAAAATTAAAAAAAAATAAGAAAAATATATACTAGCCTAATGTAGATTTTAGTGCTAAACAAGTTTTACTTAAAGTTTAAAAATATAATTTATTAATAAAATTTTAATAGATACAGAAGTTTCTGTATTTTTATTAATAAAAATATAGAAACTTCTGCATCTCTCAAACTTTTATTAATAAAGTGTGCCTTTGAGCTCTAAGTAAACTTGTACAGCACTAAACTCTATATTAGACTAGTATATAATTCTTTATTTTTGAAATAAAGATGGTTAAAATTGTAAATTTTTATTAAAATTACAAATTTAGAATTTTCTTTGTAAAATTAAAGAAAATAAAAAAAATATATACTGATCTAATGTAAATTTTGGTGCTAAACAAGTTTATTTAAAGCTTAAAGGCACAATTTATTAATAAAATTTTGATAGATGCAGAAGTTTCTATATTTTTATTAATAAAAATATAGAAAATTCTATATTTAAAATTTTATTAATAAATTATGACTTTAAGCTCTAAGTAAACTTGTTTAGCACCAAAATCTATATTAGGCTAATATATATTTTTCTTATTTTTCTTTTATTTTTATTAATAAAATACTATTACATAGAGTTCCACAATTTGATTTGAATTGATTTGATCAAATATTTGATCTCAAATCAAATTCAAATACAGAAATTTCAAATCAAATCAAATTCAAAATTGACAAAATATTCGATTTGATTCGAAAATACTTAATAAAAATTACAAATATATTTGATTTGATTTGAATTTGATTTGATCAAATCAAATTCAAATCAAGAGCTTATTTGATCAAATATGTAAATATTTGATTCGATTCGACTTTGAGGAACCCTAATATATATATAGTATACTAAATGTAAAAATATTTGTATTTTGGTTAGTTTTTGGTCAAATTTAATGATTTTACTATCATTAGAATCAGAAAAATTAGCTTTACAAATTTTAATTAAAAATTTAAGGTTAATATCTTAATAAAATAGTTTAATAATTACAATTTTGTTTAAAATTTCAAAAATTAATTAAATTTTTTAATAAAAATTTTTAGTTTAAAATTTAATTTTATTATAAATTATTATAAAATATTGATAATATTTTGTAAAAAAAATTAATTTTTATTAAATATTTTATTTTAAAAATAGTTTTATTAAAATTTTATATTAAAATTTTTAAATTTTATTATAAGTAAAAATTTATATTAGAGTTTAATAAATTTTAATAATTTTTTCTTTTTAAATTCACTTCTGAGTTAATAAATATAAATTTTATCAAAAAAATATACCCCTAAACTTACAAGTAGAGTAAATACATCAGCAAATTTTATGTATAGATATTAATCGATATATACCAGTTAATCGTTTTATATCGATTAAAAAATAACAATATATATCGATTAACTAGTTAAAAATCGATATATAGGGGTAAGTTAGTAGAAACGCACTATATTTTTTCTAAGTAAATTTTTTTGAAACTTTAAACAAGAATAATTTAACAACAACTTAATTAAATTTAATAAAAATTTTTTTAAACCAATTCAAAAAACTTGTAAAATTTATTTAAAAAAATTTTTACTAAATTTGGTTAAGTTTTTGCTGATTTATTTTTGTTTGAAGATTCAAAAAAATTTCATTAAAAACAACATGGTGCGTTTCTACTGACTCACCTCCATATATCTATAATCGATATATATTATTTTTTATATTAAATCATTATATATCTATAAATCGATTATAATCGTAATTATTTGAAACGATATATAATGATTAACAGATCTTTAACGATTATATACCCGTCACAAAAATTTCAACCCAAATCACCAGGTAAAAAAAAAAAAAAACAAAGTTTAAAATTTCTTAAGCCCATTTGATCATTGATAATGATTATCAGTTTTGTTTTTTTTTTTGCATTTTCGTTTTTATTGTTGTAACTAACGTTTTTTTTTTTTTTTTTTTTCTTCTTCTTCAGGTAACAGGATTTCGCTATTTCGATATCACCGTTAAGTGGTGTCGTCGTTGGTGTCATGCGTCATTACTATTGTTGTCGCTTCAGGTAATGGGATTTGGCCTTTTCAGTCTATGTATTTTCATCGCTTCTTTCTTTAGTGATAATTTTTTCGTCGCTTCGTTGAGGAATTTCATCGCTTTTAGTGCTATGTCTTTATTTTGTCGCTTTCGGTATCATGTCTTTCTTTCGGTGTAGAATTTAGTCGTTTCGGTGGAATTTCGTCGCTTTCGGTGTCGAGTTTTTCTTTCGGTGTGGAATTTCATCGTGAGTCTTTCTTTTTGTTGTCATTTTTCGTCTTTTAGGTGTCGCATCTTTAGTGTAGATTTTGTACTTTCGGTGTCGTGTCTTCCTTTTGTGCGTAATTTCGTCGCTTCTTTGTCACTTTCAGTGCCATATCTTTATTTCGTCGCTTTCGGTGTCACAACTTTCTTTCGGTGTGGGATTTAGTCGCTTCGGTGTGGAATCTCGTCATAAGTCTTTCTTTTCTGTGGGATTTAGTCGCTTCAGTGTGGAATTTCATAGTGAATCTTCCTTTTCGGTGTCGTTTTTTCTTTAGTATAGGCTTTTGTCGTTTTGGTGTCGTGTCATTCTTCCTTTGGTGTCGCTTTCGGTGTCATCGCTCTTTTGGTGTAATCATCGAAACATTTGTTGTATTTTTAGTTGTATTTTGTTGTGTTTGTGAGATTTATTAACTCTTTTGTTGCATTTTAGATAACGTCTTCGTTGGTGAGTTCGGTGCTGTCGTTCTTTTGGCACCGTCATTTTTTGGAGTATTTTTAGTAGTATTTTGTTTTGTTTTTGATTCCTTGATAACTTGTGTTGAGTATAGTTGAAGTGTTGTAAGACATTGTGTACAATTGCGATAAGATATGTTTCGCTTGTGTCTAGATATTTTGCAACTTTTCTGTCTTGTTTCCATATAAATTCGTTTTGCTCTTTTTGTACTACTGCTCTTTTGGTTACAGATTTATTAAAGAAGTTTTTATATATACTAAGATTAGGCATTTTACATGTAATATTTGTTGTTGTTTCGATAATACATGTGTTTGTTTGTTGTGTTGTTTAATTGTCTACAAATATTGGTTTGTTTGTTCACCTAAAGTGGACATGTTTGTTTGTTTTGTCAGATTGCGATCTGCAGTATAGGGTCAACAGTAAATCTCCAAATTTTTAGAAAAATTTTAAAAATTTTGTCAAAAGTATAAAAATTTTCCAAGAAGTGTGTTTTTGAGAACATAGTGAGCAAAGTTGTTCTAAAAAACTCCAGTTATTTTTTTGTGTTCTATTCTTTAGCTTAGAGCTAGTTTTATTGTTGTTTTAATAAAGTAACTACCAAACTTTGTTTTTCCTTTAGCTCCAGATTTGGTTTTAGTGATCGATAGAGAGAATGTTATCATTTTGTTTTGTTATTAATAGGTATCCGTTAGCTGTATTAAATTTAGTACAAAAGACTTAATTTAGTATAGTTAAAAAACTGAAATTTAGAAAAAAATTTATTATTAACCTTATATTAAATTTTTATAATAGATAAATAAATATCTACATTACCAAAATTTGCACGGGGATTACTATCGATTTTTATCGGTTATTGGATAGTAATCAATTTAAATCCCCCCTGACGAGGACTATCGATTAAGATAGTAATCGATAATAATCGATAGTGATCAGATTAAAAATCACGAATAACAATACTATTATACTGTATACTTATTTTTAAACATTT